GCCATCATTGCCAAGCCTGCTCTTGCCGGACCTAAAGATTCAAGAGATACTCCATAGTCTACTTAACCTACTAACTACTACTAACATACTATTAATCTATTAATTATTTTTCTTTTTCTTTTCTTTGTTTGAAGTCTCTAATATATCATACTAATTAGTGTTAACTATATAATTGAGTTCATAATTGAGCTCACATGAGGTTATCAACTTAACGTCGATCAAGGTTTGCCCTTGAATGGACCTCTTTTTGATGAATGCAAGGCGGTGTCGATGAGGCATTCTATGAGGGAACGTCCGTGCCTCAGAAGCAGAAGAATTTGACCAATGGACAACGCCGAGCGGTGTATGAATTCCTGTTGGAAATTTTTGATGATGGGAAGCTGTAGTGTCTTGAAAGCAGCTGCTGACGACTTTAGGGTGAGTGCGCGTACAATTTTTTGTGTATGGACTTGAGGTAGGGAGTCGTTGGCTAGTGGCAATGTGTTTGCCAACGTATCATCGCGAATGATTGGCAAGAAAGAGCGTTCAAAGTCTTTATCAACATGAAGAAGTACAAGGCGATTGACAGACGTTTGCGAAAGAATATTAGCTCAGTAGCTTGTGCCATAAGCGTATCGAAGTCGACGCTTCATTGTCGTTTCACCAAGGAAATCATCAAGCGTCATACGAATGCATTGAAGCCGTACCTTATCAATGCGAATAAAGCATCTCGGTAGGCCTATGTTGTTGATCAGATTGATGAGTCTACACTCACGGATGGTGATTCTCATTTCTACTACCAATGGGATCGTGTTCATATCGACAAGAAATGGTTCAATTTGACCGAGGAACGTGGTACATTCTATCTCGCCGTTGACGAGGAAGCGCCACATCGAACGGGAAAGAGCAAGCGTTTTGTATTAAAAGTGATGTTTATGGCCGCGGTGGCATTACCGCGTTTCGATCCTGACAAAAATCAAAAACAGGACACAGGAAAGACAGGGATTTTTTCGTAAGTCTACAAGGCGGCAACGCAACATTTCTCCAAGAATTGCTTGGCCGGAACAATGGAGACGAAACCAATTGAATCCGTGAACAAAGAAGTCACAAAGCCTTTCTTGATTGAGCATGTCTTCCCGGCAATTAGGAAATTGTGGCTAAGAAGACCAGCACGTAGCGTCGAATCAGATCTCATTAAAATCTTCGTCTAACAGTACAACGCCAAGCCTCATCCGAAACCCGATGACCTGGACCTGCAACCTCCGGGCTGATTCTCACTCAAGTTCACCTCAGATGGCTTTTTGGTAGCTCATCGTGGTTCTAGAAGACTAGGAGTGCTTCTCATACTCATAGCCCAAACACCCTCTCACATAATCTCTCAAGGTATCACTCCAACTCACACTCACATCGACACTCCAAGGTAGTGAATATTCGTCACTCTTTCATATATGAAACAAGTCTCTACAAATGAACTCTCCAAACTTGCTTGAGAGGTTTTTCACTAACTCTCTATATATACAACTTAAGAATTTACCATAGTAACAAATGGTAATTCTTATTTAAATTACTTTTATAAAGATAAATCATAGTAAGGTTGATTGATTATCAATATGTGGCAACATGCCATTGATCTCCTAAATCTTCTAGATGTTTATTAATCCATAGATTGAGTTGACGACATGCTATTTGTGTTTTTCCAACTTCTAGAACTTTCACTTTCCATTAAGTCAACATTAGACTTAGTCTAACTAATAAAGTACTCCTTACTTAGTCAAACCAATCAAAACTAAACATGAATTCAAAAGTCTTTTCTCTTGAAATCTAGACTTTTGTATAAGACAAAATAGAAATGCTCACTCAAATCTTCTAGAACTTCTCTAGTTATTCCGCCAAGTATAGACATTATAGCTAAACATAATTATAACTTGATAAACTTAGTTATAACTAGCTAGATTTAGTCATAACTATCATAACCATGATTAACTTATTGGCTAATTCTAGTTCTAGTTCACACATACAACATCCGGTCTTGATCCGAGAAGGAGACAAGTATGGATTTCAAATCCGTTTAATCAGTCAACCATCGAACAGTCTTGATATGAATGTTCTCGATCTCGGATTCTTCCGATCGATCCAATCACTTCAGCATCAGCAAGCTCCGAACAATATCGATGAGCTTATCAAAGTTGTTGTGAATTTCTTCAATGCAATGGGCCACGACAAGCTGAAGAACGTGTTTCTATTTTTGCAACATTGCTTGGTTGAGGTTATAAAAGGCGACGACGAAACGACTACAAACTTCTCCATATGAGCAAGGAGAAGCTGACGCGACAAGGACTTTTCCGGATAACATTGCATGTCCATTGGCACTATACAACAATGCTCAAGAGCGTCTAAACGGTCCAAACACATCGTAATAACAACAAGACAATAAAAATGGGACACAAAAAAACCGTGAATTGGACAATAACTTTGTAATAGAGAAAGTACATTATGTCAATGTGATTCACTGTGCTATCCATGATCTGGTTCGCATTGTAAAGCACTCTGGCTATCACAATGAAGACTTACCATTTTCATGATAAATATATCCAACCAAATAGCTTCCTTTGTCGCTTCTACTGCTGCCACATACTCAGCTTCCGTTGTTGACTGAGGTACCCATTTCAGCAAAGTAGACCTCCAACTAATGCTTCCACTGCCAAGTGTAAATAAATACCCAGTTCTAGATATACTTCAATCTAGCACATGTCCGTAGTCAACATCAACATAAACAAACAAGGATTTTGTGTTGTCTAATAAAACATCAAACAATAAGCCATAATCCAAATTACTTTTCAAATGTCTCATAATCCAATTCACTACTTTCCAATGAACTTTCCTTGGACTAAACATGTAATTGCTCACATTGTCCATCGCAAAAGCAATGTTTGGCTTTATACACACCTCCAGATACATGAGGCTATTTACGGCTTGATCATAGGGATACATGACATTTTTTCTTTCTCCTCAGCATCGATAGGACATTGAGTTGTAAAGAGTTTGAAATTTGCTGCCAAAGGAATCCATACTTTGGAATCGATCATGTTGAACATGTGAAGTTTACGACAAACCTACTTGCCTTGATTCAACCATAACCTCTTCTATTCAAGATTCCTATGAATCTCCATGCCTAATATTTCTTAAACTCCACCATATCGTTCATCTTAAATGCTGACTTCAACTTTATTCTTGCATTCAACAACATCGGATTGGTTTTACGCCAAGATAAGCTTGTCGTCAACGTAGAGTACTAGAATGATGATATTGCACGTCTCATCATTCACCTTCTTCAAGCATACACAAGGATCATACAAGCTCTGTAAAAAACTTTGTGTCTTCATGAATTCATCAAATTGCGTGTTTCACAGTCTAGGATCTTGCTTAAGTTCATACAATGATTTCAACAATCTACAACACTTCTCTTCGCCTTTGACCTCAAAGCCAGCAATTTCTCTCATGTAGATTTTCTACTCTAAATATCCATAGAGATTGGTTATAACCACATCTATCTAATCCATAACAAGACCAAATATCGCTTCCAATGCACATACCGGACGAATTGTAGCATACTTAGCTACAAGTGAAAAACTTTGTTGTAGTCCACATTCTTCTCTTGTGTAAAACCTCTAGCCACCAACCTAGCTTTGAATATTCTCGCCTCGTCTCCTGTTGGAAAATACTTCAGCTTGTACATCAACTTGGAATCAATCAGCATCTGATCTGTATGAAGCTCAACCAGCTTTCCATATCTTATTGTCAATCAGGGATTGCATCTCTCGCTCCATAGCAACATTCCACTCAAGCTTTTTGAACAAAGCTTGAACTTCCTTGTATGAAGAAGGTTCAACTTTTTCCAAAATCAATGCCATACGATCCTCATCTTCGACATCAAAGTCACCATCTTCAAGAATGGATGAATTTGTCCATACACCAAACCTTTCAGGAGCTTTATTAGCACGATGCGATCTCATAGTAGACCTTTTCGGTTAATCTATATCGTGTGAATTTATTGAAATATGCTCATCAACGATAACAAACTCTTGGACCTCACTTTCTTGATGCACAAATACTACTTATTGTGACATATCATTAGTGATATAATGATCAAGTAAGAAGAAGATGAACTAGGCAATCAGAGTCAACCAATAGGGGGACTCTGCTTGACTAGTTCATCTTCTTCTTACTTTATAGTACCTGCAAGGAAGAAAATTCCAATTGGTGATGATTCCAACATAAAACTCATGCCAAGGTATATTGCAAGGGAGATCATTCTTTCATGTTATTGCATCTAATTGAATACTTACCCAATCCATCTTATCATGATTCACATACAAGTTAGTTTTTGCATGCCAAATCAAATTACCAACTCTCCTATTGATTATAGTTGATACTGCTATAACTACACGAGTGAGATTACATGTGAACATGAAGTTTCTCTCATATTCAAAATTTGGAGTAGTTACATCCATCAGCGTTGGGTTGTTTTCACACGTGGTATACTAATTGACAATGACATAAATGATGTGGAGGGCAAGTGATAATCTGCTATTTTTCCTGTATCCAAGTGAGCTGTCCAACTTAACGAAGTAGGTTCCAAGTATTCATTTTCTCAAACTCTTCTGGAATTTTTAGCAATAATATATAGCCTCCGATGGAGAAGTATATGCACATACAAAACTCAACAATACTTATACGGTTGACTTCTGGTAAGCGAAGATTTCACATCAGGGAGAATGTAGTATCCATGTAGGAGAATACGATAAAACTACGAGTACAATACCGACCCGTTCGAATACAGTACGAATCCCGTTCGAACAGGCAGTCAAAACAAGTATGCAAAGCCGTACGCGCGTATCAGGGGAATCCGGACACTGTCAGAAGATTCAGGCGAGAAATGGAACCGATACGGTTGGCTGGTTTTGGCGGGAAAGATCTCCCGCGAGTTCGTCTTCCACCTTCAGCAGCGGATGGGATCGACTCAAAGGCGCGCACTATCCCCGCGGAGGGCCAGCTCCCACTCCGTCCCCTCTGCCCCCCAATGCCGCGGAGCTCGTCGTCTCTCGAGATCGGGTGACGCCCTTCTTCAGATCGACTGCGAGCTGCGCAATCTTCTGATCTTTTCTGATCTCCTCCTCCCTCCTCGATCTCGTCGGAGGTGTTCTGAATGATTCCGCGACCGCAGAGTCCGTAGAATCTTGCGACAGTGGCTGCGGCTGCGAATTGAGGTGGCTACGCGAGGCGATGGCGTCGTAGGAGTTGGGCCGAGAGCGGAGCGTGGACTGTCTGAGCTCGGGATAGGGACGGGAGCTCGAGGCGTTGCTGCTGGTTGAGCTGCTGGTGGTTTTTTTCGCTCGGTGAAAATGGGCAAAGAGATTTCGTTGGACTGTCTGCGAGATCCCCTCGGCGCCGTCGAGACTCTCTTCAACGGCGCGAGCTCCAAAGTTTCTCGCGTGAGTGAACTCGCACGATGGGATTGGGGTGTCAAAGATTTCTTCGAGAAGTTCCTGCAGCAGGACGGAGTCTACTCTCAGGTGCGAATTTAGTTTTCTGCCAGCATTTGTGATCGTCGACCACTCGCTGCTATTGGTTTGGCGCTTAAAATAATGCTGACTCGCCCGTTCACTTCTCATTAGGTTCCTGAAATCAATTCGACTCCACTCAGCGCCATACCTTCCAACACTCTAGTGCGCTTCAGGGGAATGGTATGTACAATCAACTCGAATGAAATTTGAATTTTGCCACTTTCGAAATTTATGACTGAAAATAATTTGATGAAGGTGAGAGGATTTCATGGCATCTTAGCTACCCCTCCGGCGCACTCGTGGCTTTCTATTATCCTATGCCAAAGCTTTACATTAATTCTCTTGCGCTGCCTCCGTTGCAGGTCCAGGACATGTTGGAGAATGAGTTCTTCATCGGTTGCTACAAGGTAAAGCATGAAATGCATTGTGACACCGAAAATGTCATGCGTCGGACGCCGATTATATGCTCCGTTATTGTCGAATGTGATAGTCCTTCTGAGCTTTCCATGCCTTGTGATGTCTGTTGTCTGCAGAACGGTGAAAGCATACGCACTACTAAGTACACCGATAGTGTTAGCCCAGATTTCTGCACGCCTGGGAGGGACAGTGTGGAGCTATGGGAGCGACGTATACTGTACTGTGTTCCGGTGACCACTCCTATCCTTGCGCAGTTGCTCCATAATCCTTCTTTTCGATAATTACTCGGAAGTTTGCAGCTGTTTTCTCGACTACTAGTCGAATCCACCCGGCTCATCATGGGGAGAATGTTTCGATGGCACGCATTTCAGGTTCCAGGCGAAAATCATTGGGTTAAAGACGCTTTCGCGTGTACAAAGTGGGATCACCCTAGCACCCAGTCAAGGAGGTCGAGTAGCCTGACCAGTCAAGCAGAAAAGAGACAACGCGACGAAGGAGATTCGAGCTCTAGCCCTGTATGATATTATTACCACTTCACTTCTTGAGGATAATGCATTCTGTATTCTCCTTTTTATTTTTTAATTTGTACCCTGGTCATTGTCTGAGCTCTCGAAAATCATGTGTCGAAACTTAGTTCAGCTTATGTGGGCCCTTTACTAATTGTCAAGCGAACATTTCGCTTAGTAGTTGAAGTTCTTATCGCCACAAGTAGTAGACTGTACGCTGGGCCGTTTATGATGTCAAATGAGAAACTGCGTTTCGTCTTCTGCTGCTAAAGAAGATCTGAATATCCTTCAGGATGTGGAGATGGATTCTTCTTCTATCGTCGAGTCTTCTGACGTGAAACGTCGGGTGAGTTTTTTGCGCTCGGCTTGTACACGTGACATACTTTGCTTGTGTACTTATCATAGATACTGTCAGCATTGTTAGCTGTGGCATAATTTTGCCTTCTTTACCGTCTTTCTCTACAGATGACGACAGAACCATCGGGTTGTGTCGTCATCTGTAGAGAACGACTAGAAACCGATAGAAACAACTTCAGATAGAACCCGACGGCACAACAACAAAGTCGGAGCCCGAGTTGTCTCTTTGTTGTGATCTCATTGTTCGGTGGACTTGCAGAGAGAGGAGTGTACAACAAGCTGGAGCGATGACAGAACATCTGGTTTGAATATGAATTTTCCTCTGGGGGAGACCTCCTTTGGACCGATTCCACTCCGACCATGCATTGTGAAGGTATGTTTTCCTCTCAGGTCAGTAGCTGGAATGTAAAGGACAGGTACTATACGTGCTTGCTGCATTCCCCTGAAGATTGTGAGTCTTTTCCCAGCTGAGTAGACGCCTCACACCGATGTCTGGCAGCTGCCTTACTGAGCATATCCAGCAACTGTCCACCTTACATATCCATGAGAATTTGCGAACATGCGGTGCTACAACCTTATAAAGTTTCGTCTCAAACAATGGCCAGCAGGCTGTAAGGCTTAATGAGATTTCTGCACCAGTTGGTTATCGCTGTCACTAGTCTTCTGCATAAATTCTAGAGTTTTTACTAAGGCACTAAGATTCTAGAACAGTAAAGTTGGTATGTGGCTTTCTGAATATAATAAGAGGTTTCCAGCTGACGTGATGGAATTCGGATGCAGGTTTATGACAACGCGGACTCGGACATTATGCTGAATGATGTGATCGAGTTCATAGGGATATTTACCTTCGATCCAGAGCTCTCCGCCAACAGCTTTTCTAATTCTGAGGCTGATTCGGACCCGTTTATGGAGGCTGATCTTTGTTCGCGTCTTCCTCAAAGCCAGGTGAAAGCCTCCTTCGCGACTAGCTTTGTATGCAAGCAACAGTAAACTGCCTACAGTGTGACGTAAGTTACAATTGGAACTTTTTCTGTCAACACGTTACAGCTTTTGATCTGAATATGGAGCTCAATTTCGTGCTGCAGGTTCCACGAATCCACTGTGTGACTTCACGTAAATTGACTGCAAACAACATGATTTCTATTATACCGGAACTAAGGCAGAAGCAAGCTCAGATCATCGTGAGTTCATCTTCAAAGACTTCCTTCTCCTCACATCAGCCTTTTGTATCTTCATTATTCGAATCATTTGGGTTTTAGCCTGCGTGTTGTGCTTGTAGTGCTTTCCCCATTCAATCCGTAAAAGTGGTGTACCAACCACTGTGGTCAAGGTTTGGAGTCCAGGGATACTTTTGTTTCTTGAAATAAGCTGGAGTTTTTTCAAATTGTTTTGGTCCGAGCCTAAAGTGAGATGATGAAAGCATGCTACGTGTCAATCCACGCACATGGTTAACTTTCATGGATGTGAGGCTCTACAGGCAAACCCGGGAGCTGTTATGACCCTGAGGGAAACCATACTCAGCGGATTAGCGAATTTGTTGAAGGGAGACAGCCTGGCTGCTGAGTATCTTCTGCTACACTTACTTTCTCAGGTAGGAAGTTGAATTAGTCGGTCGTGCCGTGAAAGCATCCAGAGAGTAGATCAGGAGGCCTCTCGTTGATATCTTGACCTTAAATGTAAAAAATACAGTGAATCGCTTTTAACGTGACTACCTTTGGTACAGATTCACAAACGAGTTGACACGATCGTTCTTGGAACTCTTCCTCTCAACATCGTCATAAAAGCATCTCCCGAGAATTCGACTCTCCCGTCACAAATAGCTGAAGCAGTCGGAGCTCTTCTCCCCTGTTCGCACTTCCTACCTCTGTCTTGTGAACATCTCAACAAAGGGCCTTGGGCTCCACGAAAGGATTACGATCAGAACAGGTTACCCCTACCTTTAGACTCAAACCAGAAGTTTTTAAATTGCTCGTTTTGATTTCTAGTGTCTGTAGTCATGGAGCTATAGGCTGAATCTATCTGATGTGCTCTATCCTTCTAGACCGCTGAAACTTGTCTTCGAAACTTCCGCCTTGACGCGTGAAGTGTATTTCGGATTTAGTTGTATTGCGGTTCGTCCTAGTGGCTGGCAAGATCAAGGCGGTCACACCTGAGATTCATGAATCGTTTGAGTAGAACGCGCTTTCTGAAATACGATCGTGATGCCGTCGTGAAACATATTCCCTCAACGGCGAGTAGCCGAAACTGCTTTTAGTATAATTCTCTATTTTCTGGAACTGTCAGAACGAAGAATTTTCTCTGCTTCTAACTGGAATTCTCCAACCATATGCGTGATTGCATACCCAGTAGTTGTTCATACAGCGAAACCAAGATGGTGAATCCCACTAATGGCGGGATTGGTACACTGCAGGCTAGCGACGGGAGTATTACAGCTTGCAGCTGGTACGCACTTGACACTGGATCTTACATCCATGACCGAGGGAAAGCTCAATACAACTGGAGTTGAAAACTTGTCCACTCTGAGAAAGATGATGCAATTTCAGACGGTTTGTAAACAACAACCCTTCTTTCATATCTTTTGAGCCACTGCAGTCATGTATGTAGCCCAGCTTTGGCCTTCCGAGAAATGTTCTGATTGTACCCGGTAATGACTCCTGATAGCTTCCTATGCCACCTGACAGGTCAATTATGACTTCAAGTTCCATCCAATTGAGATTGCAACGGACATCTCTGTGCTCGTAACTTCAAACTCAGTTGCAGGAGCTCGCAATTTTCTACCAACTGATATCTGCGTGGTCCTCGTCCCGAGCGCGGACTCGTCTGCGATCATCGAAGACGAGTCTCTTGCTAACTTGAGACTGTACTTGAGTGCCGCTAGAAACTTAGAATATAACCAAGACACAAGCCTCAACCCGGTATGTTCTCCTCCATGTCGATTTTTTGTGAAGATCGTGTAGCCTCATTGCTAACTCACAGATGCGACGCTTTCAACTGGGAAGATAATGCTTTGGATTTCACACGTGTTTCTTGTCATGTAACTCATAGTCAATCAAATATGATATTGTAACCATCTTTGAATCGAGGTTCTCATAACAACCTTTCTGAGCCGTTCCACCATGAGCTCAACATCTCGTCCTTCCTGACCTATACTTCTGCTTGGCTCGCAGGTGTTGGAGAATGATCTAGTAGAATGTATGCAGAAACAACGAAGCATCGATGTCGAGACATTTCACAGGTACGAACTGTTTTGATTGAGCTGCGGTCGAATAAAGCTGATTGAAACCGAGATGCTTGTACGAGTCTGTTTTGCTGCTCTGAAAGAACCGGCGAAGTACTTTCCCACGTATCTTTGCTTGATTCGCCTGCGCTGATGGATCAGATTCCACTATCACAGTACTTAGTTCGTGAAGTTCTTGACACTCGGTCACAACTGGAGAAATGCCACTCAATTTATGTCAATTGCTCCTTGAGTACTGTATCTAACTGTCGGCTACTCCGTAACAGGAATATGATACTTGTCATTTTTGTTTCATAACTTTTTAATCTCCGTCTATTTTGTTGCAATACTCAATTGTCGATAGGGTCGCCGAGGCACTTAATTTCTGTCTTGTCTCCTGTTGTGCCGGTCGTTGTGCGTTTCCTAAGTTCGTTTTGTTATATTCCATTGCTATAACCAGTTCGTGTCCCCTTTTCGTATGCCATCGACTGGGAGTTTCACGTGCTGTTAATTAAGGGTTTTAGATCGACTTTTTGCGTTGAGTTCAACTCTCGCAATCATCACCTTAAACAATTCTGCATTTCACAACATAATATCTTCATGTGCTCCTTTCATCTCGGCAGCTGCGGTTACTTACCTCATGAGCTTGTTCACTGTAGAGTGCTCAGTGCTTATATTCCTTTTTGCTGTAGACCGTGAACGAGTGTAGTAGATGCCTGATGTTATCACCTAATAAATAATTTACATACGGATTTTAAAGAGTCTGTGAGAGTAACTAGAGACTTCCCAGTCTTAGCTAAACGTGCCACATGGGACGCAGTAAAAGTTGTCTGTGTCAAATGTCAGAACTGCAGAAGTAAATGCTAAAGTGAACTAGTTTTTCAAAAGGCTGTCTCGAAGAGTTTCTATACTGCAAAGATCCTTTTGCTGTCTATTGACATCGTTTTCTGATGCCTATTGTGCAGATGGCTGACGTTGTCAAGACTGCTCACTTTGAGTCACGGTGAATCCCAATTAAAAATCGAGCATTGGAAAAAGGTTCTTGAAATGGAGAAGCTTCGTGTCGCGAGAATGTCCCACTAAAGTACCAGAGGAAACCATCGAACCAATCTTTAGTGGAACTGTCGAGAATGATCTGCAAACTAGCAAGAGCAATTTTTGTGCGTTCACGCATGCAATTCTGCATCCGCACATTTACCTCCATCCGGCCTTCGTCAGCGAGAAATCGTGAATCTGTGAAGCGAGTTCTCTCGAATTCTCAGGCAGTTCAAAACCTTTGTAAATATAGGAAGATCTTGCAATCGAAATGCAGACACGTGGAAGAAAACCTGTGATACTCGAGACACTCCGCTGCCCCTACTAGTCTAAAGCTCCGAACGCCTTCAAAGATGAAAAACTTGGCTACACTGCTTGAAGCTAGACGAGGAATTCGGATCGGAGCTCGCCGGGAATTTGTGTTTAGGAAGTAGCAGATGGATTAGGCAGCTGTCACCTCGTAGCTGCTGTCAGGTTAGGATCCATGTAATTGGTGATTGCACGACAGCTGAACAATGTAAACACATATTAATTTATTTGTGACGCAGAATCCAATCTGAGACTTCTATTGCTGTGCACCTTAACCGCTTGTAGATGACGACAGTCTAAACTTTGCATCACTGGTTTGGAGTGGTGTGGGAGTCTAGAAGCGAAATTTGACAGCTCTATGGACAAGGTGAGAGCGAGATTAGCATCTACATGTAGTAGAGCTTTAACTCCCGACCTACGAGCCCAAGAACTGGCAACAGATGCGCACTCACTGACAGCTGAGGGACAAGCACCGTGAGAATGGAGGTGAGACGGGCTGAAACGTCTTGCCAAAGCCCTTTTTGCTTCCTCTGAACGAATCGTCGTTACCTGAATGCCACTTTCAAAGATGGGAGGGAATACAAAGGCTCTGCCGAGAGAGCGATCTAATCTAGAATCTCCTCTGATCAGGTGAGGTGTTTGTTTCGTGCAACAACTGGTGAGAAGTCTTCCCCCACATTAATGCCCATGATTATATGTCGACCCTGTAGGACGACTTTTGCCTTTTCTCCCACCTGTGCCTACGGCTGCATCAGCTCTAGGCACGTTTAGTTGTCACTCGTATCATGAACGCCGCTGGAACGCCGGGAGCTTCGAGACATGCGCGTGTAATGACTGCTACAAGTGTGGAAGATCATCCGCGGTCACTAATTGAAGAACTTGTGCCTGCTGCAACAAATTTACCGTGCGAAGACGTGCGAAGACGCTTACCCGTCTCAGGTCAGTAACCCTCCGTCTTGCACTCTTAATGAACATCCTCTAGGGCACCACTGTCTACTGACTTGGCGAGCTCGAGAGCATTTCACAAGGTGGCATCGTGTGTGTATCATTATGTTATTCCACCAGCTCACGCGTCTCTAAAGCTCCAGGTCTCTCGACTGATCGAGTCCGTCTCCCCTCCTCTGTACCCTACAGATCCCAGATAGACTTCACGGGCTCAGCTTTTGAAATTGACTCACATCATACACCTACAAGCCGCTGCAGGGATAGAGTTCCTACTCGTAGAGCCGAGTTGGTCTTCTATGTCTGAGTTGGCACAATACCTGGCTTTCGAAGTATTGTTGGCCTTTTGGGTGGATCTATTATGTGTATACACGGGGGATGCACACTATCCGGGATCCTCTAACCCTTAGCAGTCAGTTAGGATGTTCCCGCCTTCAACGTGCCTAGGAAACTGTAGTCCCCTTTTTACAAAAGATGCTGTCTGGTGTCGACCTGTGTCGATGAAAACGTCTGGCACTCGAAGATCGTTGCCTTTTCGATGGTGGGTCCACGATAGAGGCTACCCGTTCAGGTTGGCGGATCACTAGGAATGTAAACTCCCAGCTATTTGAGCTGAAAGTGAGATGTCGGTTCTCACCGAATGTGCTGTTTGCCATTCTCATGTGAATCGAGTGTCTGGCATACAAAGTGACGTAGCTTTTTCTCCTCGTGTTGGGACACTACACGTTGGAGTCGCTATTCTCCAGATCTTCTCCTAAAGCTTCCAATCATTTGGTGCGTGGACTGTCCAACCGCTATCACCTCTCCATGCCACTGCTCGACTCCTTGGGACGTATGTTTGGAACGGTTCCAGGGCCTTCTCGTCTGGTTAATGGCTTATGTGCAATATCCTCTTCTCGATGACAAGGGCCTCACGGTTGGTGCTGTTGTTTGTTCCTTCCTTTCACGAAGCCAATTGTACATACAATTCGGATGAGTCCAACGGAATGGGTAAATGCTTCTCGCTCCGGCAGACCCTTGTGTAGTTCTTGTGACAATGCCCTTGTCTCAGAAATAGTTAGTGCCATTTCATTGGCCATGTTGCCAGCAGAACAGTCTAGAATATGCCCTGCCTTTCATAACCTGGAATCTTAGGGATAACTATTCTCTGCTACTCCGAGTTCTTGCCGACGAGCGATCGGCTTGAGAGGATCTGACAGCAAGTCGATGCATGTACAAGATCTTCCGAAAGATAAACGACGTAACAAAGCACAGCCTTGAGACTGGAAACAACCATGTCTTCCGGTCTCGAAGCAACCGAGCGTTGCTGCTGAACAGGACCCGAGCTTCTAGTGGCGACGGAATGATCATGGATTTGTGTGCAGCAGTACACAAATCCAGAAGCATGTTCGCAGCATGTTCGAAGGCCGTCTTGTGGTCCATAGAAACCTCTTATGTGCCGAGTCGCGTTGAAATGCTGCGACTCATGCTCTTGTGTGTCCTAGATCTGCACAGAAATCTTCGAACTTTTGTATTTACCGCAGTAGACTGTACTCGGCTCTCATTCGTGAGCTTCTGACAACTGCCAGCTACTCAGAAGAAGGCACACTGAGCCCGATGAGAACCAAGAGGTCAATGTTAGCCTATTGGAGCTTTTAGGACTGGAAAGATGCTTGTCTGTGGATACTTACCATGAAGTGCAGTTAGCTGCTGGTGGTCTTTCACCACCTCCAGCCGTCTTTGCCTGCCTGCCTGCCGGCCACAGGGTAAACTGTCTTTCACCGCCAAGGGACTGTGTAAAGTGCTTTTATACAGATTCGAGATTAGAGACTTCCTGCACGCAGCCAAGACGACATGGACATACCGACCCACAGCAATATGTATGTAGTGTAAACATCCAAAACCCGAGCGATGTGTCTACAGAAGAATGGGAAGACGTGTGCCCCTAGGAGCCGAACTCCACTACGTTCTCTTTCGTGTTGTCTGTGTGCGAACGACCGGGGCTTTCTCCATGCAGAGGCAAGTTGTTAATCACACCCAAAACATGATCTCGGACAATAAAACAGGGGGAGGACGAAGGATATCTGTATGTAGCCGTCCTCTCGAATTGGTGGCTCTTGGATTGTGCCAGCCACAACCGACATTCTGCTACCACGTCTGGGGCTCTCATCATTCTACACACGCAGCAGCCTTCTTGTGTTCTAGACAGTTTGGATTACGATGTATCTGCACGTGAATGTGCACTAGTGGAGATATATGCATATTCTGTTGCCGAGGACGTGATGAGGAAGATAAGCTTAGTCAGATTCTTCGATTACCGGTATAAAAGGGGTATATTTTGGAATCACTGTAGAATTAAGCTCCAAAAGGCCCGAGAAATCTCTGCTCTTACACCTGCCACTGACCCACAACCAGACAAGGCTACACTACCGTACATCTAGTAGCGGTGAATATGGATGAAGTTTGACTGGTGGTCAAACCAGGTTCCGATTGATGCAAAGAATTGTTGACGCTCAGAAGACCGGAGTCACCGGAGCATTTCGGTGGGAGGGGATTGAGCTGCGGAAGACGCCCTTCTCCGCCTCAGCTGAATTAATCTATCGAGGAAAGGGAGGAGCAGGTGCTTTGGGAGGTACTCCTCTTGACTCGGGGTATGTATGACCCTGTGGGAACCAAGTTTCCATTACTGGAAGAAAAGGTTTCAGCAATCAGTGGATTGGGGCAAGTTGCCAATTGTTGTTGACCTTCACACACATTGGAACACAGACTGGGACATATGGCATTCCTCTCCAGGACAACGAAAGAATGTTCTGCCAGCCTTATGGGAAAATAAAGCACCACCACTCCCCACTTGGTCATGTGACTTTCTTAATTCTTTACACCTTCTTCTAGAGTATCCATGTCCAAACGTCGGTTGCCGATCCCGTCCATGATGCAGGAAAGTTCCAAAAGGTCACAGTCTCTCCACTGCACATCCACCTCGGTCTGCACTGAAGCTTCACTCCTTGAGAGAGGGAGAGATTACTAAATCACGTGGTTGGGGGCCAAAGTCGATTCACTTTTACTATCGAGAACAGCAGAGATGACCGCCTCCCCCGTCATCCCCAAAGCACCACATCGACTGCATGTTATGTACCTTTCATACCTTGACATATCCTGGAGATATAAAGTGATGCTGCTGCTGCTGCTCACAACTGCCAAGTATTCGCGAGATGCATCATAAACTGACTTCAGAGCCTGCTGCGTTTGACTGACGAGAAAGAGCACATGTAATGATAAGAACCGCCACATCTGCCCAAGTAATTGTGGATATTTCATTCCAACAAATTAGAGTTGCAACCTGGGAACTCTCTGGGTGGGAATCGTACTTCAGACCCGTACTTGAAAACATGTGTGGCTATGAACAGTGAATACTTTGGAGCTTTACATCAGTGATATCTGGGCGCTTCTTGAGCATATAAACAAAGCGCTTAGGTTTGTTTATGTCCCAATCCTGAGTATGTAACAACGAGTGAAAATTAAGGGAGCAGTGTAAGACCTTACTCTCCTCTGTTACTCATGACAGCTAACGAACGAGGACAAAAAGTGGATTCTCTACCCTTTTCTGATGGACGAGCAGTCATTGCTGCGACTGATTTCGAAGCCATGTGCATTGAATTGGCTATCGTCTAAAGTGCAGACGCTATTGCTGCTGATGACTTCAGTGAGCTTAACTCCACTCGTAGCTCTGTCATGTTTACTACGTGTCTTTGAGCAAGGAGGCAAAGAAACATGAATTCCTCGACACAAAGTACTGTGTAAAGAAACTAGATCAGGTACTGTGCTCGAATTCTGGACTCTCGAATTATTCATTTAGCCTCGTCGTTAGCAGAAGAGATGGGTTCGGTGCTTGTGCCTGTACTGGCTTACTGTCTACTCACGTCTCTCTTTTGATGCCGAGCAAACTCTGTGATCCTACATTGGATGCTTCGATGCCAGCTTTTCAAATTGCATAAACCTGTGCAAGAAGGTCAAAACCCCATTTCTGATGGGACAACATTAGTCTTTTCCCAAATGATTAGAAAACTAGTCGTCTGCTGTTCATTACGCTGAGGTAACTAACCCGCACTGATACAATGGCAAGTATTGAGCTGATCATAGGCTAGACTATACACGAACGAATAACATTACGGAATAAATGTGAGTTTCATGGATAACTCAAATCTCACGGGACCAGATACAGACCTCGTCTGCATCTCTGGTGCGAAAAGTCCTTCTTGTACTCAACCATAATCATGCTTTTGTGCCACAAATGAGCTCCTCTGAAGGTCTCTTCTTGTTTCGAGTAGTAATATTGTCATGTCTTACTTCAGCCGGCTACTAAGCAAGGTGCTAACTGTCTCGAAATGGAACGTCGCCCAACGTTACTGATTTGAGTGAACTTCCACATAGAACAACCAAAGTCGGAACAGAGAGGAAACCTGACGACCGTCTTACGCACCAGAAAAGAGAAGATATCGCAACCGAACGCTTTTGAGGCATGGAATCAGCCGCCTCATTCAATCTTCACTATTGACATGTGTATGTGGACAACGACGAAGGCTTCGTATAACGCTACGGTTTCGCTTCTCGATATGGTGGGTTGTGCTGAAGTGTTGCTTGCCTCATTACTCCACAACCCAACACTTATTTTCGACCTTTTCCTGCATGTCTGGCTGCCCTTATCGTTAATCTTCCTTCTGCCCATACAATCTCCAGATGTGGAAGATTCAACCGCTATCTTACAACTTCATCAATAGTGGGGTGGGGGGGGAATTGGGTTCTTACGATTTTGTGCATATTTATTTAACCTGGGCAGCTACAGTCCATCGACTGAAAGCAACACAGGAATGCTTACAACCTAGATTCACCCAACCAGCAATTCTCCGAAAATCTTTTACTGTCATGAGGGATGTATACGAAGCTTCTTCCTCTTCAAATCTGAGATTCGATGCGTGCATCAAGACAGACACAAAACCCGACCATCATGTGTGCCTTTGACACGACATTGGTTGCCTCCAGAGAAAAGAAATTCAGTTTATGAAGTGAGAACTGGTGACTTGCAATGAAGGCAGGGAACTGTTCATGTCAAAGAGGTATACAACTAAACGTTCACCTCAAATGTGTGTCGTGAAAAGAATAAAGGTATCCGTTGGGTTGAAGGAGGCTACTTACAACTCACCAGAACCCTAGAAACAGCTTGGAGTAGAACCCTGTAATCACATACAGGGTTCTAATCTGTAACCTCTTTATCTACGACTGAACATCATATGTCACCATATGAAATATAGGATGGAGTCGATATTTGTACAACATTCATTGAAGTTATTGTGGAAGAAATAGGGGGATCATTGTTGAGCTACGAGAATATATTTGTAGAGAATATTAGTCTTATCAACGTCTTTTAACGACCCAACACCCCACTTTAATCCACTTATCCCATGGTTAGAGCACCTATCGGAAAGATATAGCAAGTACAGTAGTTATGGTGATGTGATCGGATTATCATGCTTATACATTAAAAGTTTTGCTACAATGAAAGCTAGGAAAGTGTCGCTATCGTAGAGAAACTTTCCTTCGCACTAAGAGATCCTTGTGGATATGTACTTTTCTTTCCTGTCCTTCCTCCAATCCAGAATACAAGAAAGAAAGAAAAATTAGGAGACTCCCAAGCTTTTCCTCCCTCTGCCCTATATCAAATACCTTTGGTAAATTTTCCCTCACTTCATCAAACGAGTCCAGAGGAAATGACAGATACGACAATGGATGAATTTTTTTTAAGCTGCCTGCGAATTAAACATGGCTGAAATTACTCGCACAAAGAAATCTATCAAACTATAATAATAGACATCTTTTGATTGTGGTGCGGGCTTTCTGCTGAATCTTGTGGAGTCTTACTGTTGTCCATAACATTGACCTCAAGGTCAACCGACCAGGATTGAGCGATTTGATGCTCTCTGTTCCCATTGTTCCCAACCCTTCGCTAGAAACAGAGAGAGTATGACTTCATAGGCATCTTCCGAAGATTTGCTTCCGCCTACGTCTCTCACGCATATTGTGATGTTATTCATTTTTTTCCCTGATCTCAACAAACTTCTATACAAAGAGGACTTTGGGATACAAAGCACCGCCAGAAAAAAATTAACTCGAATAATTTGATATATATGAGGAAATGACTCATCTGATCTATAAAAGACTCAAAATCCAGGTGCTTGAATTTTGTCTTAGGAGTCTCCTCCTATTCTGGTGGATTGTGTGGACTGATGTCGACAAAGACCTTCGTCAGCATCAATCGCCCAAACCAGTTGCTGCTTAAGATCGAGATGATCTCAATATCCAAAACACCGATCCTTGTGATAAAGAACACACATTTATGAAGAATTGAACAATTAAGAGGTTATACTCGAGACTAGAGTATCTAGTATACCTACGGAGTCTAATATGCTTGATGCCACTTCCATGCAGAAACAGCCGAGCTCTAAGAAGACGTGGAGAAAGTTATACATATAGTGGAGACTTTGGACAAAGGATGATGTGAAATAAAGTCTGTCAGATGAGCACAACTTCGGACTCTTCAGACCTTCCATGCATGTATGAGAGGTCTTTACAAAGCACATTGATCTCATAATTTCACGACCTCGATATCTCGAGGACACATAAGTGGTACTCTAATTCTGCATCTATGCTTTCTGATTATTGAATGGTGGTCAAAGGTGATGATCACTTTTGCCTCAACAGATGACTTGTGGCAGTCTCCAAGGCATCATGTCAAGGTGCTGAACAATGACCCTCGATCAATTGATGAAAGAAAAAGATTCAGTGCGAGGAGACATGACATGATGGCGCAGGACTCGTGTTAAGACAAAGATGGTAGCTAAGAGGATGACAGGATTATTTGGGTCTCCGGACAGCACTCATACAAAATTATATCAAGTGAAGTCTAGGACTGAACCTAAAGGAGGAAGGCTAATGATGGATCGAAGCAGCACTCAACAAAGCCTAAAAAGCTCTCAGCCTTTTGCACTTTGAAGCAGAGCACGCGAGACTACCTTCAAGGCAACCCAAGTCCACAAACTATCTAATGTGAGGATCATAATCGCCTAGAAAGAGAAGAAAGTGTCAAATTAGTGGTGAATAGAGAAACCTCACCTGAAGTGGATAATAGGCAATGAGGCAAATCTACGCGCTACATCGCCTCATTCTCCTGCGCTCACCTCCTTGGAAGATTCCAAATGTGAGCCACGCTTTGCTTTTCCTGGAGTCATAGACATACCACCTTTCAGCTGCAAATAGTCGTCAGTCAGGCACTCACTCACGACGACAGTTGCATGAAATTACGAGTTCTATGCAAGCAAACGGCTCATGTGCTCACGCTTTTCTGGTGCAAACCAACAGCAGTGACAGCTGTCCTTCCTCCTGAATAAGATTAAACTCAGACTAACACTCGTAAGTAACTTGAATCTCATGAGTTCCACTCTGTCTCTTGTAGCCTCATTTCCTTAAGTTATTTTCCATCGGATCGGGCAGAGCAGCCCTGTAGGAAATGCCTAGAGTGTCGGGTGAACCATGTGACTTCTGTCAAGTCCATAAAGGACGGAACGATTTTATAGTGAAAAGTAAGGACAGAAATTTGCATTAGCTTGCGTCTTGACGTCGATATATACAGGAGAATAGATGTTTTCAACGAGAAGGTGGACCAAGAAATCGTTCCATATTCGGACAGTTACAGCAGGAACAATTGTCTTCAAGGTTGAAGGTCAAGGTTGCTTGGGACTAGCTTTTCCGCAAAAGAGAGAATCGGGCAAAAGGAGAAAACCGAACCACATGCTTACATACTGTAGACTGCAGATGTTGCCAAGTGGTTGAATCTTTGTCGACATTCATCGAATGTCATTCGCCTTACGCACCTTCACAAAAAGACTCCGCCTTGCCTTGCCATGCTGGGAAATATATTTGCCATGGCACGAAACTCTTTCTTATGATGCCTTCAGCATAGCGGCGGTTGGGGATTGGTTAGGAAAGTTACGAGTTGCACATCAGGAAAAAGAATGATTTCCTCGCCTGATGACAACTCGTCAAGTCATCTTCTCCCCCTCTTCGCCAAAGATGGATCGTTTACAACGCTGCCTGCATGAATTTGCATGCATGTAGCCACAAATCAATCGCAGGCAATTTGCCCATGTCATGCACTAGGTCATGTGAATGTGAGATACACAACCTACAGATAGGTTTCTCTGAAGAATGTCAACGGCGGGATTTCGTGCACACTCGAAGAAATTTTCAGCGAAGTAGTTCTCCAACTCCTCAGTACACTGGATCCAGTGGTTACCAAAACCTTGGATTGACTTGAAAATAACTATGTCTCACAAATGTAGCCTATCAATCAGATCCCCTAGGCCCGTGATTTGTCTCAACATTTTTGAGTGATATCACGAGAAGAATCAAAGTCCATTTTCAATCAAGAATAGATTTCCAAAGCCACTTTAGGAGCAGCTTTCACATGACATCCATACGCATCCACTTGTCGTAAGAAATTGAGCAAGACGCAATGATTCCAAACCTTTGTGCTAGCAACTGAAAGGGTAAGTACAACAAAGGGTCTGTGGGCATCGAGGATCGACCTCCTACACGGACCACCCAAATCTACACCTCATAACAAGATCTTACATTCCCTAATCATACCCTCTCATGTCCTCGCTACTTTCCTCGCTTCCCTTTCCTTTCATATCCGTGTTGGGCGGAGACAAGGTCCTTGGACCCTCGAGTTGAACAAGAATCATCATCTGAGTTCATTTCCGTTGTTGGATTGACCGCATGAAGAATTCATGAGCTACGATTATTCTAAGATGGGCAGATGAAAAGAGAAATGGATGTAAGGAGGGCGAGAGAATGGCTGAGAAGGCGAATTCCATGTTTAGATTCCTGGATGCGAAAAGAGTGTCGACAAAACGGGCACAAACGCGTACCATGATGACGAGCCCGATTCAGTGGATAAAACTGTATAAGTAAAGGCCGTAGGGCTTGGCAGAGTAAATGATTGATAAAGAATGGGCAGCAGCTGAAGTGGGCCCGAACTCTTACCACTCCTCGTTTCGTGACTTTATGTTGAGTCTAAATTAGGACAAGCTCCAACACCCTGAAACCTCGCTTTATGTAAGATCCAATTTCTCAGACGCCCTGCCAGCATGACTCCACAGTTTGGCCCAAAGTCAATACTTGGTCCAGATATTTCTCCTCATCTGGATCCGAAGAGATGCTCCGTTGCAGGTGGCAGAGGTTGAGCGAGGTTAAATGATGCTCCTTTATTAATTACAGCGATCCAAAAAACAAATAAGCAGCTCTGGGCAGCTATATTAGAATGTATAAAATGGAACCTTCAACTCGGTCAAAGACCCATATATTATCTCCGTTCGAGTTTTGGAAGATTGTCAAATCGGCTTCCGCCCTGGCACCTCTCATACGAGGATAACTTCGCGGGTCAGAGGACCTAAAGGAGATTAATTATTAATTATTAATTACCGTCATTCTGTTTTCAGATACTTCTGAATCGGAAGGAATAAGATAGAACTTGAAGCTGATGGATCCACTTGGCCCCCATTAACTGCCGAGCTGATGGATCGGTCACTGAATATTCTCTCACTCTCTCTCCTTCTTCAGAGAGGCAAGTTGGATTATAAGTGCAAAACAAGCCATTGGTTCTTTGTTTGCATCTTGTAAAGCATCGGACATGCTCGTCAACAAAGATACTCTTTTCACATCAGTCATCTGATTAATCTCTCTACTTCCACCTGATGTGCAATCCAAAGACCTCAACTCCATTTCTCTAAGCTAAGCTCGATAATTGGATAGAAATGGGCTGATTGAGTGATGAGTAGAACAGCGGAGAAAAGACGGAGGTCGTTGGTCTGCCTATTGTGAGGTAGACACCAGAAAGGACATAGATCCTTCAAGATTCCAATTCTGTCATGTTTCTGTCAATCCTTCGGATGCCATCTCCGAACCGGAGTCCCTCCAAATTTGGAGGCGAGCGCCCTTCTAATCCAGGTTCTTGTTCTGGCGAGGCATCAATCGAGCTGCTTCACATGGACAACTATACGTCACAGAGCCCCTGGAGCTAAAAACCGCGTGGCAACAAAGCCCGGTTAGCCGAGGTTGGTACACCCAGTTAGGTCGCCGGGTGGAGGAGGTCGGGCACTGCGACTCTGCACACCTGGCTTTCCATATTGGCGTTCTGCCTGCCCGCCTGGGCTCTGTGGGCTGCCCATCTGGCGCATTCTATCTGCGACTAACCACAACCCGACCCCGCACGGAGCGACCAGAACCTCACTTCAGTTCATTTAACTCCACGCTCATCCGCGTGACGGCACCTTTCCACCGTACAGAGAGACCGCAGACTTGACAGCAGTCAGATAACATGCTCTTCGATTCCTCGCAGCCGACTATAGTCCGAGGTCCCTGGTCCTCGGTCTTTATCCTACCTGGAACATCCGACGTGGACATCGATGCCTTGTGGTTCGGGTTTCTACTACATTTAACCCCTGCCGTAGTTAGATCGGTGTGATGCGCAGTGAATTCCAACCCCTACCCACCCCAATAACCTCGCGTCGATGTAATCTGTGAGCATCTGTCATTTCCGTCGTCAACCCGAGGAAATCTTTGCCGTGGTGACCACGGCGTGGTCTAACTGTGAATTCGGGAAGTGCTGCACTGACTACATTAGCGGCCACGCGGTTTCGGGGGTTGATGGGAGGGTCCTGAACTAGCGGACACGGACAGAACACACGGCGATGACAGATGTCAATGGACAGAATCTGTTCAATGCGTTTGGTGAGGGCGATCCGCGATTCGTGACCATAATAGCGGATGCTAGAACGCTCTCCATTTTGTGGTCGGGATTTGGCTGTACGTCGGCATCTGCGGTGAATTATCTCCAGCCCCCGCTTTTCGTCGACGGACGCCCTGCGGCAGCTACACTGGACTACAGTACAGTATTGTAGAGTACTGTTCGCTAGGCTCGACGATAAATATAGAGAGAAACTACTATTAGCCTGGCGGCTCGAAAAGTCCCTCTCGGTACGTTCGGTAATTCTGGTCTTGCCTCTTGAGTCCTGCGCAGCGAGCAGAATACTTGTACCATCTCCAACAAACCGTTTGGTGTACGATTAGTGAAGTACCTAGATATACATGCATGCTTGAGATGGGGGTGACAGATTGAGGATTCAAGCAGATTTATGTACAGATCCCATCAAGCAGTACATGATGAAATATATATCCTAATTTAACTAGCTCTGAGTAAATGAACACTTAACCTAATTTCACTCCACTAGCAAGTACCTTTTTTAGTACTGAGTATATCAAATCTATATCATATTTTATATTGAACCAAGGAGAATTATAGCTTCAACCTATTATGATAGAATATTACGCAATCTCTTATAAACACATCAAATTCCTCGTTTAAAACTAGAGGTCACATAGATAAATTTTCCAACTAGCCTTACGTTTGAAAACCTTGCATTATGTAGCTACATCAGCCATCTATCCAGAACTAGTAAAAACCAACTCATGCAAAACCTAGTCACATTATTGATCAACACATTTGTAATATAGATTCAATTTTCACAAACCAAATATACATTGCAAGGAATGCCAACATTCACGTCACGCGATATATTTATGATTTTGTGTCGTAGCAACATATAACATCTGAAGCATATAAGCAATAATAACTTATATGTATCAACAACACTTTCATACGTGACTGATGAAGCCAATGTACAAGTTTATCATTGTATATTTCTTTAAAATTAAAAATTAAAAATATCTGATGCATGGTTGAGCTAAAATTTGAAAGCTTTTATTCTTGGTAGTAGAAAAACAAGCAAAAACTTAAATCTATCTCAATTTTTCAGACTCTTACATAGAACATCTTCTGTCTGCAAGATCTAAATCATTTTTATCAACAAAAAAAATTTCAAAAATTTATATGTTTTGATTTTTCTAAACAAATCAAGACTTAAACTTATATCAGTTTTTATTGCCTGTACAAATTGTATCATATATCTACGCTTGTTACGTTTTTTGAAATTAAAAATTTCTACCATTAAATTTTTATCTTTCACATATTTAAATCTTTTCCCAAAATAATTTATTATAAATTTTACTATTTCATCATCAAACATTCTATGATTTTAATTTCAAATTTTTGATCTAATTAAATTAAAAAATCAGTATTATATGCACATAATAATCAAATTTTATGAATATGACTTTACATTATAATTTTCATTTCAAAATTAAGCATATGCTCATTTTTTTTATATCTATCCTTCATTGTTTGATAAGGCAGATCCTTAATCTTTGCATTAGTAATCTTAACAAATAAAAACTAAATAATTATAAACTACAATAAATCAATTTTTAATCACATTTACAATTTTTTATTAGAGAATAAATTCTCTTACCTCTTATAAGAGAATTTATTTGAAAATTATAAAATATTTATTATGTTCAAATGATTTGTATGTGTCAAGGTTTATCGAATTTTATTTATTTTTATAAGAATCTTTCTATTTTCTAAATTTTACACCATTATTTTCCTGTGATGTATCATAGATTTGATAAGCAATAAAATAACTAGTGCAATTTCATTCCAAGAAATTGCCACTAATGGTTAGTAAATCTAGTCCATTGCAATTTTAAAATATCAAGAATCTATGAAACTAAGTTTCAAACTTAAACAGATGAATTTTCATATGAAATAACTACAAATTTTATTTTTACTCAAAAAATATGTGCATATTATCTGTAAAGATTTGAGAAAATATTCATATTTTCTTTTTTGATTAAAAATCTTGTTATAAACTTGCTATAGTTTCATTTCAAACGGATAAGTTTACGATGTGATTCACTTTACTTACGATTCAGACTGTTCAAAAAATCTAAAGAGGAAGACCGCCGTAGAGCACGACCGGAATGGCTTAGAATACCAAGTGATTTTAAATAATTCAAAGGTTTTAAAATGTTTAAATAGGATGGAAATGAATTTTATTTTATGTTATCTAAAACAAATATATTCAAAGTATTATTTATAATTTAACTTTTAAAATCAAATGTATGGCTTAGTATAATGAAAGCCATACATTTGATTATTGACTTGAAAATTTTTCTTGGTTGAAATTTGGTTTCGAATTAAAATATTACTCCAATTTTTTTAGAATGTATATGAAAATTTTTAAAATAATTTCACTGAAGTAATAATAAAACCACATCAATTCATTTTTCAATATAAAATAAATTTTCCATTTTCAGAATATTTTTATTCAAAATTTTAATCTATGATTGAATTACTCATGATTTCATCTTTTACTTGACGATAATAAGATTTAGAGAGCAATACGTTTCATACCTACAATCATTATCATAACAAGCTTGAAATTTTTTTGGTGATTTTCTAATTCTTTTTTGAATCATTATAAAATATTATTCACAATATGTAACATGAACTATAATAATTATTGTGATTATTCAAAAATGATTGTACATAATAAAACACTAGAAAATTCCAAATTTTTTTAAAGAAATCTTTGCTTATTTTCATGAAAGAAATTATTTTTTGTGTCATATTTGAATACTTTTAGGTAGTAAAAGTTTTTAAAATTTGCTGTTTCTTTTGATTTTTATATAGGTGATGTAATTCAATTATATATCCATGTGAATTCATAAATAATTTTTTTTTAGCAGATGAAAATATATATAATTTTCCAAATATTTATAAATATAATTTTCAGAAAATTAGACAGAAATTTAAATACATTTTTTTATTGTTCAATGTATTCAAGCCTATTGCCAATAAATCAATAAAAGTTATCATAGCATGAATCATACATATTTACATACAATAAATTTTTTATTTCATTATCTAAGTTTCAGTTTTGGAAATTATTATTGATCTAAATCAAGAATTATGATTAATAATTTGTTCCTTATATTCAGACGAAGATAAAATCCATACATAGACGTTTATTGATGAAGGTATAATAATAAATTATTTAACATGTCAATGTTAATTTTTCTAAATACTTATCTAACACGTGTATTCATTAATCAAACCACTGAAACAAATCATCATCTATATATATTTTTTTAATTATAATAAAAAAATATTTTTGTAATAAATTTTGATTTTAAATTATATTTTTTAAATATTTACTGAAAGCCATCGTTTATAGTGCGTTATTTTTGATTATGAATACATAATAGAGAAATTTTACTCAGAAAAAAATATCGAATTAATTTAA